TCACCAATGTTAATTGTTATTTCTCAGACTATTACTCTAATTCTTAGGTATGCAATATGTTAATGGAAGCATTCACTTTTTATTTCATGAAATTTCCTCACTATCTTCTAGGCATCTTCCTGAGAGTTTAAACATTGCTTGAAAGAATGCACAGCATTTTATAAATTTGTTGTTATGGAAGCAATACTAGTGAAGTAAATTATTCATGAAGTGTCCTCAAGTATACAGAGATCAATTAATTTTCTATTTCTATCACAGATTTGCTTTTGTTCAAAAGTGATCTTAGTGAAACACAAGTTTCATAGCAAGTGCAGTTATAAATGTAACACATGTTATATGTAAAATATGTATGACACATGTACATATACACAATGTATATTCAAATAACAGATTTGGGATTCATTGACAGACAATAATAATTGTGGCTGTGACTGAAAGACAGAATATGTATGCTTTAATATTCCATAGCTTTGGACTTTATTATTTCAGCTCATTTAATCACAATATTTATTATATAACAGAGGCCATCATTAAAATATCACCGGTTATTAAAAAACTACATAAATCAAATTTTGCATTCACTAACAAACATTAATATAATCTTGATTGAAATATAAGAGTCGTTAAAGCAAATTCTAAAACAACTTTTAAATATATGGCTGTTATTCTGTCTCCAAGGAAATAGAATATACTCAATGTTCCTTGAAATATCTTTGTGAGCCAAAAATGCTACATGATATTAATCTGAAAGATGTGACAATATATGTAATGACACTTAGACTCACATCAGAAGCAAATCACAAAAATTATTCTAACAGAAAATAGTCTCATACATTTTTAGTTTTCTTTGTTTCTTACCATGTACCATTTAAATTTATCTTGTTTATTCTCTTCTGTCCCATTATCCACAAAAAGAAATGAATACATTCACTCTTTCCTGTTGAACAGGGATTTGAGTATATACTCTCCAAGCTGAGGTTCTATATCATGACTATTTCTTTATGATAGAAAGACACACATGATTAGTCTGTTTTTCTTTTATCTTCTATTTATATTCATCAGTTGTACCATACAGAATGGGAGAAGTCAAAAAACTCAACCACATTGTAAGTATTCTGAATTTTTGTTTGCCTAGGGATATGGAAAATAGCACATTTGCTTTATATAAAACCATTAGAAAATTCTGGTGTATATTAGATGTCAATAAAAGTTATGCACATTACTTGGGAAAGAATTCCTCAGATCCCTATGAACAGTTTATTTGATTATATAATCTAAGTTACCAAAATAAGAAAAATAAAGAGAAGAACAAAGAGGAGAAAGTGGAGGAGGGGGAGGAGGGGCAGGCTAAGGAGGGGGAAAGGGAAAAAATCAGAACCATTTAACAAAAAGAAAATTTCCCAATACAGTTCTGAAAATGTTGAAGATTTTGATATATAAAAATCAGCACAAAAATTTGGCTTCATGACTTATATTTAGTATAGTCTATGGTAAAAAAGATAGAAAAATTATCACAAATATAAAGACTTCAGCATGTGTTGCTAAAATATGCTTTGCATTTTTGACATATATACTCTTTTATATTCAGAATTAGCCTTCTTGAGATGTTTATTTCTTAAATAATCAACATAAATGTCACTTCATAGGTATTTCTATCTATGTATTAAAAGTACATGAAATGCTTCTCCAAAATATGATGCTCCCCAAAATGTATTTACCTATATTAATTCTATAGTATGTCCATAGATGCACCTATAAAGAACTATTATAATAGTGCTTAGGAGTGATTTAAACAAAGTTAAGGAGTTTCCTTTAATTCTGAACTTTTAAGAAAATAAGTTATATAGGGTCAGATGCATTTGGAATTTAAATAAGTAGGTATTACGTACATCTTCTCCAACATTATTTGTTGAAAGAACTCTCTGTAGAATCCCCTGGCTTAATTTTGAAAACATATTTCTCTGCCGCTTATTTATTTTTCTTTCATATGTCTTCTTTGACCCTTTGCGTGAGAGTGTAAAATGTTATCCAAGGAATTTTTAGTTCGTTTAACATATTTTTATTTTGTATACACTACTGGTCGAGCATGTGGCAAGTTCCTGGAAATACAGACATTAGTTAAAGAGTTCCTACTCCCAAGAGAGTTTACATTCTAGAAGAGAAAGACAGGTGAATAGACAATTATTATACACAACAATACGTGCCGTACTAGAGCATGGAAACATGCTTCACCCAATTGGTGCCGGTCTACAAAGGCTTCTCTGAGAAGCCACATAGAGATGAATCTGCTAAGATAGGTAAGGGTTAGCTATGCAACTTGTAGGGAGTGATAGCAGAAGGGTAAAAATTCCCGGGTTAAGAGAATAGTGCTCACTGAGCCCAGAAGTGAGGAATTTTGCCATGGAGAAAGATTAAGTCTCCCATGCAGTTGCTCAGGAAGGAAGGAGAGTTCTTATGAGTTCACAAGGAGGAGATGGGGAGATGAGAGATATGAGCCACGGCCTGATCCCAGAGAGCCCAGTGTATAAAACTAAGATTTTTAGATTTGATCTGAAGGCTGTCAGGCACCAGTGAAGATGTTTAAATAGAGGATGACATGATGATGTTTACATTTTAGATCAATCACTCCAGAAGTCTATCTGGGAAATGGATTGTAAGATACAGGCTGAAGAACAGGAGGTAGGTTTGATCAGGCATGGATCCAAGCAAGAGATAAGGGGGACCTGGCAGTGGGGTCAGAGAGAGTCCTTATCCTGCTCACATATATTGTGAAATGTATATTGTAGTTATGAGATGAAAATGTTTAGGTAAAATGCATGTTACTATTCCCCAGATAAGAATCAACTTTAATACCTATTTATAAAAGAACATATTTTATTATTTTGAAATGTTTTTTATGTTATTGGGCTAATTTTAGTTTTGAGAACCTTGTATATGAAAATGTGAGGAAGCATACTAAATAGAAAGGCAATGTAATATGCAATATCATGCAAGGCTATGATTTTGTAATTAGAATATACAATCGAAATATTGTTTTACCCAAAATAAAATTAATACTGTACAGCATATTCTCCCCATGGCAGGTTTTTAATTACTTCCTTTTATAGAAATCTTATTAAGTATTCTTTCGTAACGTAAATAGGAATATTTTTAAGTACAGAATGAGATTACATCATACAAATTTGGTGCTTTGTTGTTTTTTATTTTACACTCTGAGTTACCAAATAGGCTTCTAAATTTTTTAAAAAATAAGAGGAGGATGTAATTATATGCAAATTAAACACACTAACACACACACAAGCACACAGAGTCATAGAACTCCACTAAATATAGGCAGCCAAGCGGCCCCGGAGGCACCCGGAAGGCGCCCTCCTAGATGCCAAGATGCCCAAGAGGAAGGTCAGCTCTCTCAGCCGAAGGCACAGTGAAGGAAGAGCCCAAGAGGAGATCTGTGTGGCTGTCAGCTAAACCTGCTCCTGCAAAAGTGGAAACAAAGCCAAAAAAAGGCAGCAACAAAGGATAAATCTTCAGACAAAAAAATGCAACCAAAAGGGAAAAGAGGAGCAAAGGGAAAACAGGCCAAAGTGGCTAACCAAGAAACTAAAGAAGATTTACCTGCAGAAAATGAAGAAACTAGAACTGAGGAGAGTTCAGCCTCTGATGAAGCAGGAGAGAAAGAAGCCCAGTCTGATTAATAGCATATACCATGTTTTATTAGTGGTCTATGTCTCCCTTCTTGTACAACCCAGAGGGATATTTTTATAAATTCTTTTGTAAATGTAAGTTTTTTAGTAGCTCTAGAAACATTTTTAAGGAGGACAGAATCCCACCTCATCTCATTTTTTAAGTATAAATGTTTTTTTTTTTTTTTTAAGAGGTGAAATCATTCTGTGGTTGTTTATTTTTTGGAACAACCAGAAAATTGTGTGGGATATTGAATTATGGAAGGCTCTGACTATTTTGGACATCAGCTTAACATTCCATAGTTTTAAACATACTAAATGGCAATACAGAGTCTCAGGACTGCATTTAATGTCTTGAACATTTTAAATGACTTCTACTGCCATGTTGTTTTTTAGTAGACTTGTTTCTTAAAGAAAAGCACTCTGCGATCATGGCTGTCTCTGTCAAAATTGCATATACTCTGTAATATCTTTGGTCGTGGTAGTCCTGTTTTCCTAGTATCTTTGTTAATGTGCTATGAAAGATTGAAAATTTGAGTATGTAGTATATGATAATAAATTGTGAATTGGTGAGACTTATGTAACAGCTTATGAACATCTGAAGATACTGATACTTGATATTTTGATATCTTAAGAAAAAATTTCCTACAAATTTTAAGGTGGAAAGTCACTGGAATAACTGTTTTAAAAAGAATTAAAGTAAATGGCTTTTTAGATTTTCAGTATTATGTTAAGAATTGTGTAAAAATTGAAATGTCTGTACTGATCTTCAACACAACCAATAAAATTTCATTTACAAAACGAAAAAAAAGAACTCTGCTAAAGAACTCTGCTAAAAATAAAGAACTCTGCTTAGCTATAGATGCTAAATAATTTATTTAACTGACTAGTTAACTATATATTTATATATTATTTATATATAATATTTGTATATTATTTATTCATATATAAATATATATCTACTGACATATAGCTTGTTTCAAATTTTTGCTTTAAGAATAATGCTGTAATAAACTGCATTGTTTCATGTGCATTTGTATACATGTGAGATTTATCTATAGAAAGTGTATGGAGATGGAATGGCTGAATCAAATAATACGTGTTTTTTACATTTTGATAGATAATATCAAAATTCCCTTCAATTGCACTTATTTTTTCTACCATCTACCCAAGCTAAGAATGTCTGTTTCTCAAAAAACTTACCAAATGTCTTGATCTTGCTGGTATGATGGTGAAAAATATCCTATTGTTTTGAAATGCATTGTTTGATTATGGATGAGGTTGAATGTCTTTTTCAGGACCATCATGATTACTCACCAGTGATATCCAGCTAACATGATGAGTAAGAGCTGAAATCCAGCCTTCAGCTTCCCAAGCTATGTGCTTTAATGAGGGCTTTTGCTGTTGGATAGGAAAGCTTTGTTTTAATTCACAGCAAGGTATCACAATAGCTAGTAGGGGCAATGATTTGCTTAAGTATTCCTTAGCTTTTATCTATGAAATTGTTTAAATCTATCTTATTGATGTTATTTTTTTAATGTTAAGCATATTTATCCTTTATCATATGAATTGCAAATCAATTTTGTTCTTTATTGTTTGCTTGTCTGATTGTAAACTATGCTACTTTTTTCACCACGTAAGAGTTTTAAATGTTTATGTCATAAAGTTTATCACATTTTCCTTCTAAGCTACTCTTATGCTTATACAGACATTTCCATCTTTAATATTAGGAAATATTATCCATGTTTCCACTTGTATTTTAGCACTTATATTTTCATGTTAAAAGTTTGATCCATCTGGAATATGTTTTGGTATAGGAGTGTAGGACTGAGAGAGAAACTTGATTTATTTTATCTCGTAATAACTAATCATTTCCACTCTCATTTATATGTCACTTTTAACATTACCTCTAATAAATATTAAAATATATTTCTGAATATATTTCTGTTCTGGTTATATGCCCCAGTACACTGGACTGTTTTTACTTTTCCAGGCTTATAATATGATTTAAGGTGAAGCAGAATAAATCCTAGCTATTTTTTTCTGAATTGTTTGTCTGATCTTAAATGTTTACTGATGTAAAGAATCTTTGGTGTTAACTTTTCAAAAAAAAAAATCTCCCTGCCATTTTAGTCAGTATAACATTTAATTTGAAATTTGAAAAAAATTGATTTCCACATGAATGAAAACAGTAAAAACCCTAAAAGGTAAAGGAAATTCCCATATGAAAATACAACATGAAAACCTAGAGTCAAGAAATCAGAAATAAGGACTCAGTTTACAGAAGAGTTTGAATAAAATGAGATTATGTTGGAGTCTTACTGATCATCAGTAATGCATTACAGAAGCTTTGCTCTTTCATCAATTCTGATCTTGTTTAATCGCCAGTTTCCATTGGCTTAACTGCACCTATCCTCAAAGGTCCTGCAAGATATCCCTGATGCTTTACAACAAATGTAGTATTCTGGCAACATTTGACTTGGCTGGTTAAGTCAGACTCCTTTTTATCCCCTCGGGCTTATCTATTTGCAGCAGATTTATTTTATAAATCCACATATTAAAGACCTGTCACTAAGTATATATGCCATGACCATACTCTGGTATTTAGACACCCAAATTTTATCTCACAGGTAGATAATTCAAAATCCCATCCACTATATTCCCCTAGCAATGACACTGACTGCTGCTAAATTGAGTCTTCCTTACAAATTATAAATTTAAAATAAGCTGTATTTCAAACAAGATAGAGAATAAATGCAAGTCATAACCTCATTAGCAATTATTTTAAAAAAACTTGTAGTGAGGCAATTTTTATTTTTCCAAAATTACTAACTTCTAGAATCTCTATTGTACCCACACAAAAATCAGCTACAGAACTAAAGGAATTTATAGCAGTGATGACAATCACACTCCCTGTATTTGGGCAAACAAGTTAAAAATTAAGAAAGATATCTGAAAGCGAATATTTAATTATGATACCTAAGACCAATTTGCAAATAAAAATTATTATCAGGACTACCTGGTCATCCTCCCATCCCTCAAACCTCTCTCTAATCCACTCTCTTTAATCCCCATTTCTGGATCCATTTCCCATTTAGCACTAATTCCTAAACCCCATTCACTGTGCTCCATGGAACTCATAATCACAAATTATGTCCTCAATTTCATCTTAGTGTGAATTTCTTTAACATATGCATATGTCAAAAATTCACTAAGAGATGTACTTTAAAAATCAAATAATAATGCTGGCGATTTAACAGTGCTTTGAAAATAAAACATCGTGCATTAACTGTAAAAAAAAAAAAAAGATATTCCCTTTACCTTCTTGTTTTAAAAGGTTGCTTGCAATCAAACCATTTTTTGATGACCACAATGAAAACCACAACAATAATCTGTAAAAACTCTTTTCACATATATTTTCTTCCAGTTTCTTCATTATGTCTCTGCTTCTCTTTGTAGCAAAACTGTTTAAAAGAGTTGTTTATAGAAACTTGGCTTCTAATTTCTTTCTTCTCATCCTTCTCCTAACCTAAATTACATAAGACTTTTCATGGAAAATAAAACCCTCAACATTTTATAGAAAGTACTCTTACAAATGTCAATATTTGATCTGTCTTTACCATTTGACAAAGTCGACACCCCTCATCTTCCTTTTCTGATTTTGTCCAACTCTACTGGAAAATCATTTTAAGTAAAGTCTTTTTTTCTGGTTACTCCTCATTTTCTTAATCTAAAGTATTTAGCTGCCCCAAAGTTTGTGTTTGTAATGGTCATACATTTGTTTGTTTGTTTGTTTGTTTCTTGATCTGTGTATACTCTCTCTCTTAGTAAAGTCATCAGGTTTCTGGTTTTACTCTATACACGGATGGCTCTCAACTTTGTATTAGCAGCTTGAATATCTCTTTTCAACTCTAGCATCATATATCCAACTACTTAATCTACTACTATTTCCTATCCCTAAACAATTTCAAAGTTACATGGCCCAAAAGAAACTTTAATGCACCCTGCTATCCTGTTTTTCCCACAGTCTTGTCTTCCCATTTCAGTAAACTATAAGCCTATTCTTCCAGTTAAGTTTATGTTTGCTTACAGCTAAGCTCCTGCTATCACTTTTGATTCTTCTCTTTCTTTCACAATTGTCATCCAGACAATTGACACTACCTTAAAATATCAGGATCTGATCACTAATAAACATTTCTACTGCTAACCACTCTGGTCTAAGCCACTGTTATCTTTCACTTGATTTATTGCTATAGATTCTTCATTGTTTTTCCTGTTTCTTGTTTGTTGGCCTATGTTTTACTATTAAAAGAGCAGCCAGAATAATCTGTTAAACACCTTAAGTGCTTGGTAGTGGCCATATGTATCTATAACTCTTAAAATTCACAAAACTGTACATCAAGAGAAAACAACATTATTTTAATTAATAATTTAATATTAATATATACATACAGGCACATATATACATATAGATCTATTTATATTTAACGTAAACACATCCTCCCCTTAAATAACATTATATAACTTCTGAGCTCAAAAGTGCTTAATGGCTCCACCTATCTCTCAGAGTAAAAATTAAAAGTCTTTCCAATGATTTAAATGCCCTTCTACATGACTGTCTTCAGGGCCTTTAGTCCATTCCTTTCCTATCTCTCCACATCTTTTATGATTTCCTACTTCATTTGCAAATATATAGTTGTACTGGCATCCTTCTTATACCTGGGCCATGCCAGGAATATTCTTACCTCAAGACCTTTATTTGTGTGGTTCCTACTTTCTGGAACATTCTTTTCTCAAGTATCACCATGGCTCACAGTGTCACCTTTTAGGTCTTGGCTTAAATGCTAAATGAAGCCTTTCCTGACTACTTTTAAATACATTCCCCACCCCTCATTTTCTTCTTACTTCCTTTATTTTTTCTTGTAACACTTATTATTACCTCACCTACTATATAGTTTATGTATTTTCTTATTCATTTTCTGTCTCTATTATGCAATTTCAGATGTTTTGATTGTTTACCAATATATTCCAGAGCATAGAGAAAACTCTTTAAGGTAGACAATAATATTTAATGAATAAATAGAAAATTATATATTTTTAGAGTAATTTAAAAAGTTATATTTTAAATTTTAATGATTTTGAAATATTCTCAGTATAGATTTTTAGAATTTTTATTAAGGTAAAAGTCAATAAAGCAGAGGTAAACATAAGTGTTAGAGTAAAAATGTATAAACATGAGTTTTCTTTATGTCATCCGAACCTTGTTAAAGTAATGGAATAATTTATTATATAACAATATATTACATATTTAATAACAGCATATCTATCATATGATATAATAATCCATAGAACAAAGTTTTCAGGTGTTATGGCTGCTGAAGTTATCGTATTGAACAGTAGAGACACAATTGAGGCCTGCAGAGAGCTACATCTAGTGGGAACTACAATAGAGATCACAACCTGTTTTGACATGCACAAAATATTTTTCAAAAGACCAAGCAATAGAAATATATGCAAGGTGTACTTAATCAAATTCAAAATATGCATTTGGCCTGAGTTGGGCCAAATATAGCTGATCTAAACCTTGATTGATACTAATACTATAAAGTCAGTTCATAGGAAATTGAACAAATTTTTTAGACTGCCATATATGAATTTTATATGAATACACATGAGCAAGTAATGAGAAAAGATTCATAACTAGTAAAGAAAATTAAAGGATATATCATAAATGTATGAAATCTTGGTATCAGTCTTCTTATTTTAAGAAAAGTCTTGACTCTTAGTTCCTACATTTTACTAATTTGAAGACTGGTAAATAGTTATCATCTGGCCAAAAGGCTAATGTAATCATTCTGAGCTGAATGTCCCCATGGTGACAGCTATTTCAATATTGGCATATTTTTAGTTCTCTGCTCATAATTAATCTTATGCAGACCATTTTTACATAATGTAAATCTATTTCTTGCTTCTAGTAATTGCATATCTAATTTAGTGTGAAAAGAAGAAGCCAATATTGCATCTGCTAAAGTAACTAAAAAGCAAGACTGTAAACATCTTCTACTAATGATTTTTATCACTTAGCTTTACTTTGTTAACTTTTGGAACTTTGCAAAATATAGTCACTTTTAGTCAGAACTTTGAATTCCATCTTTAGCTCAGATGAGAAATTATGCCTTGGCATGAAAGAGTACTTTATTTTAAATACCAGAAGTTTCTTGTTGATAGTTATGTAAAGAAAGCAATCCAACAACCACCACAGATAGAAAACATTATACTTAAATAAAGCTGATTTTCTTTTTTTGTTTTTTTTTTAGCTGAAGCCCAAGGGACAAATATGGAGCGGTAGAAAATAGTTTGAACAGCAGTACAGTTGTAAAATATGCTTGAAGAAGTGCTTA